GACTGGGTGGGACTAAAAAGTTCAATCAATTCCAACTTTACGAGATCTTTTTTTTCCCCCCAGAGGTTGAAATTGATTGAACCTTTTTTTTTTTTGCACAGGGCGGCAGAGGCCTAAAGTGAAAAGGTTTTATAAAACCCAGCTGAAGGCCTAGGACTGGGGCGACGGCGCTTGTGCCCACAGAGAGGGCTCTGCGTGCCACTTGTGGCATGCGTGCCATAGGTTCACCACCACGGTACTAGGATTTTATAAAGCGGCACTAATACCTCGCATGATCTTGATTCTATGCCTCTGTTTATACAACTCAGGATTATATTAGCTTTTTTGGCTGCTGCTGCACATGGCTGGCTCATGGTCAAGGGATCGTCCACTAGGATTTCAAGGTCCCTCTCACAGTTGCTGTTTTTAAATGAGGTCTCGCCCAATCTATATTTGTACCTTTCATTTTTCCTGCCTAAGTGTAAGACTTTGCCTTTCTCCACATTAAATTTCATTTTGTTGGATAGGGCCCCTTGTTCAAGTTCGTTAAGATCTTTCTGGATCCTGAGTTTGTCTTCTGGGATGTTGGCTACTTCTGCCAGTTTGGTGTCATCTGCAAATTTGATGAGTTCCCCTTCAATTCCCTCCTCTAAGTCATTGATGAAGATATTGAAGAACTTACTGGGCCTAAGACGGAGCCTTGTGGTACCCCACGGCTCACTTCCCTCCGTGGGGATGTGGTGTCCTTGAGGACTACTCGCTGAGTACGGTTTGTCAGCCAGCATCCTCCTGGTCACGTGATAGCAACCCAGGCACTTGGCAATCGGGGTGTATTTGTGATGGTTGCAGCGTCCGCAGGTCTTGGGGCCGCCACATGCACAACCTTCCCAGCGTCTGACAAAGTCAGTGGGGGAAGCAGGAGTCACTGAACAGCCACCCGACAACTGCAGCAGTTCGCACTTCCAACTGTGGTCGCCCTGAAGTGTGTAGCTAAATGTCCACGGAGACTCTCGGTCGTCCAGGTCAGGGTCATCCCAACCCCCAGAGGGAGCGCTAACAACCAGATGACTGCTAAGGAATGTAAACCCTTCCAGTCCTCCACCATTCAGTCAGAACTGAAGAAGCTTCTTGGATGAGAAGCGAAACACCCTCAGGGGGAAAAATCCCCAAAAACTCCAGTTGCCCCTTGGGAAAAAAAACAAAACACCTTCGGATTAACAACTGTTAGCAAAAAAAGGTTGTACAATTTGGCACCACTTGCACAGCGGCAGAAATTCTGGTCCTCACCCCAGTCGTAAGTCAAGGACCAGGTGCCTCGTGTTTGGACTTAATTTACGCCACACAGTTTAAGTTAAAATACACTGGAATTGCCACTTATTTATTTTTCAAGTTAAATAAAGGGGGGAAAAATCCAAGATGCCCCAGGTTACATGGGTAGGCAACCTCGGCTCTTTTATGACTCATGGACTTCAACTCCCAGAATTCCTGAGTCAGCATAGCTGGGAGTTGAAGTCCATGAGTCATAAAAGAGCCGAGGTTGCCTACCCCTGCAGGCTCAGGATGATGGGGACTGTCACCCCTCCCTCCCAAGGCAGCCAACCAGACCTGACCCACCTTGGTCCTTTGGGAACGAATCTCAACTCCATTTGGAGCGAAAAGGTTCCTTATACTAAAAGCCGAGCGGCTGCAGAGCCAGAACCAGGAGCCCGAGTGCGGAAAATCCCCCCACTGACTCTCTCCCTTCCCTGGTCCACCCTCCCGTCGCCTGCCCATTGTCCAGTCACGTTCGGAGGAGATGCTCTGGTCCCTGTCCCTGCGGAGGCCGGCTGGGGTTGCACCACCCCGTCCCCAGGACCGCGGCGTTGGGGGTTTCCTTTCGGTCTCCCCCTTCTCCCCACAGCCCCTCCCGCCCCATAGCCGAGGGCAGACGGGCACCCGGCGAAGCGCCGGCGTGAGAGCGAAGGGACGGCAGCTCCGATGTAACCCGTTTTTCTTTCTCGAAGGTGCGAGCACCCTGCGGGATGCCCAAGAAGTTCCAAGGGGAGAACACCAAGTCGGCCGCCGCCCGGGCGAGGAAGGCCGAGGCCAAGGCGGCGGCTGACGCCAAGCGGCAGAAGGAGCTGGAGGATGCCTTCTGGAAGGACGAGGACAAGCACGTCATGCGCAAGGAGCACCGGAAGGTACCGGAAGGAGGGAGGGCCCCGCTGGGGCGATGTAACACAGAGGAATCCTTGGGGTCTCCTGCCCCAAAATCCTCGGGGCCTGCCTGGGTTGAATCGGGGGCTCTGGAGTTCACGAGCCGGCGGGCAGACTTGGTCCCTGAGTGTAGGGCCGGGGGCTCCGGCGTGGCGGCCTGGGTTTTCGGGCAGTTCGGGCTGCACCGCGGCATCCCCGGGAGGGGCCCTGGAAAAGGGGGCGGAGGGGTCCCTTTGCGGGACCACAGGCAGGCAGAGGAAAAAGGGAAGAGGCACCAGAGCCACTTGCAGGCCCAGCCCCGGTTACACCAGCTGCACAACACACACACACATGCATGCCACAGATTCACAGCACAAAGCCCCCACCCCCTCCTCGAACTGGATTTCCTTGTTTCTCCTTGAAGACGTTTTTTGTTTCTCATCCAAGAAGCTTCCTCAGTTCCAAGAGAGTCTTCTTCACTCAGAACCGAAGAAGCTTCCTGGATGAGAAGCGAAACGTCTTCACGGGAAAAGAAGGAAGCCCAACTGCCTCTGGGAAAAGCAGCTCTGGGACGGCCCTGGCCTGGATTTGGTGAGGGTCTCCCTGGACACCCCTCAGAGGCTTTTTCCCTCAGGCCCTGGCCCTGGCTGGCTGGTTTCATTCCGCTCGCATCCCACCCCCATTATTCTGAGAAATACCTCCAGGCGGCAGATGCATCCGACTCACCTTGTTCCTCCTGTTTTCCCACCACAACAACCCTGTGAAGTAGGCGGGGCTGAGAGAGAACGACTGGCCCGAGGCCTCCCAGCTGGCTTTCCTGCCTAAGGCAGGACTAGAACTCATCGCCTTCTGCTTTGCAGACAGACAGACAGACATAGGTAGGTAGGTAGATAGATAGACAGAGATAGATAGATAGATATAGACACAGACAGACAGACAGACAGAGATAGATAGATAGATAGATATAGACACAGACAGATAGAGATAGATAGATAGATAGATAGATAGATAGATAGATAGATAGATAGATAGATAGATAGATAGATAGATAGATAGATAGATAGATAGAGATGGATAGACAGACAGATAGAGATAGATAGATAGATAGATAGATAGATATAGACACAGACAGATAGAGATAGAGATAGATAGATAGATAGATAGATAGATAGATAGATAGATAGATAGATAGATAGATAGATAGATAGATAGATATGGATAGACAGACAGATAGAGATAGATAGATAGATAGATAGATAGATAGATATAGACACAGACAGATAGAGATAGATAGATAGATAGACAGACAGACAGACAGACAGACAGACAGAGATAGGTAGGTAGGTAGGTAAGTAGGTAGATAGATAGATAGAGAGAGAGAGAGAGAGAGATGGATAGACAGACAGAGATAGATAGATAGATAAATAGATAGATATAGACACAGATATAGACACAGATATAGATAGATAGAGATAGAGATAGACAGATAGATAGCTAGACAGACAGACAGACAGACAGACATAGATAGAGAGATAGATAGATAGATATAGACACAGATATAGATAGATAGAGATAGAGATAGACAGAGATAGATAGAGATAGATAGACAGACAGATAGAGATAGATAGATAGATAGATAGGTAGGTAGGTAGGTAGGTAGGTAGAGATATAGACAGACGACAGAGATAGAGATACATAGAGATAGATAGAGATAGACAGACAGACAGACAGATATGTAGATAGATATAGATTAGATAGAGAGAGAGAGAAAGAGAGATGATAGAGAGACAGACAGACAGATAACCTTTATTGTCATTTTTTTACTCTGGGCACATTGGCACACATTACAAATGAGTGTTTTTATAATACCTTTTAATTGTTGCTGTTAATTGTACGCTGTCCTGAGTGACCTTTTTTGAGATGGGCAGCCACATAAATTTGATAAGGAATAAAGGAAGAATCGTGGCTTGACACCTCCTGGTGGGCGAGGCTGTTGCTGGCCTTGGGCCGACAGGCTGAGGTGGGGCCGGTCAGAGAGCGCCAGGGCTGCAGGAGGGGGCCTACTGGCCCACTGACCGCACCAGACCTTGGACAGGCGGAGGAGCCTGGGGGGAGATGGAGGAGAGACCCTGTCCCAGCTCAGGGTCTTGCCCAAGGGACGAAGGCAGGCCCTCCCCTCTGCTGGAGCCCCCAAAGTGGACCAGGCACCCTTGGGAAAGAAAACCCGAACCCAGAACCGCGTCTCCGAGGGAGCTGGGAAAGAGATTGGGGAGGGGCCGGGGTTCTTGGAGGGGAGAAGGGAGGGGCCTGGGGGGAGGAAGCCAGCCCCCTTCAGCCAGTCGGGCCGAAGAAACACACACGGAGTCCGGGTCTTTCAAGGCCTTCCGGGCCGGCTGCAGGAGTGGCGGGCGGAGGGGCTGCCACAACCACAACCGCAGAGACGGGCTCTCCTCCACCATGGCCTGGCTGGCCTCATCCTGGCCCTTAGAGGAGGAAGGGCCCCGTGTGGCACTCGGGGCCTGGAGAAAAAACATTTGGGAGCCTGAACCTCCTTTTCCACGAAGATCACGGGAAGCGTTCAGGCCGCTTCGTAAGGCCACACCTGGCAGACTGCAGCCCGTTGGGGTCACCCCAATGCATAGGAGGTGTGGAGACTTTGGAAAGAGGAGGAGGGGGTGGAGGGGGAGGCCAGCCCCACCAGGCCAGGAAGCTGGACTGCCCAGAGGAAGTCTGAAGCAACTTGGATCGGGGTTCTGGTCTGTAACCTCTGGGGGGCCTCCTGGGCCTCTGGGGTCCCTCGCAGCCTGGAGCAATTTTTTTTTTTTATTGGAAAGTTTTATAAAAGTTACAATATAAACCCCAAAACCAACCCACCCTAAACCCCCCCCTCTCCCTCCCCCACTTCCCAGAGCTGAATACAGGGTTACAAATATAATAATCATAATCTAACTAACATTAACCAACTATATAAATAACCAAGTCCATAACTCCCCTTTAACGTAAATATAATAATAATAATAATTAAAACATAAACACATTAGTATCCTAATTATTAAACAATAGAATATTGTTAAACGATACTAATACTAAAAATAATAATATCATATAATTAAAACTAACAAAAATTTCACTATAATAAACTATTAATACTAATAATACTCTAAAATTTACTCATAGGCTAAATGGAACTTTTTAGTCCCATATTTATTCTGAATATAATCTATCCATCTTCTCCAAACCGAAATGTATCTTTCTTGTGAGTGATCCTTCAAATAGGCAGAAATCTTAGCCATTTCTGCTAAATTTGACACTTTAAGCGNTAATAATACTCTAAAATTTACTCATAGGCTAAATGGAACTTTTTAGTCCCATATTTATTCTGAATATAATCTATCCATCTTCTCCAAACCGAAATGTATCTTTCTTGTGAGTGATCCTTCAAATAGGCAGAAATCTTAGCCATTTCTGCTAAATTTGACACTTTAAGCGTCCATTCTTCTATAGTAGGCAAGCAATCCTCCTTCCAATATTGCCCTACTAATAACCTTGCAGGTGTTACCAAATTCAACATCAAGTTAGTTTCTTTAGCATCACAATCTGTAATAACACTCAACAAAAATAATTGTGGAGTGAACTTTATCTTTCTCTTGAAGATCTTTTGAATGCTCCACCAAATCTTAATCCAAAAAGCTTTTATATTTCTACAAGTCCACCAAATATGAAAATAAGTAGCGTCCAAGCTACCACATCTCCAACATTTGGGCTGTAAATTAGGATACATACAAGACAACTTTTTAGGATCCAGATGCCATCTATAAAACATTTTGTAAAAATTTTCTCTTAAATTTTGGGCTTGGGTAAATTTCTGACGGAGGGAGCCTGGGGGTATATATGTTTGTGTGTGGGGTTTTTTTTTTTTTTGCCATGCCTGTCTTAGGTGGATTGTTCTGCCTTGTGACAGAGACAGCACAGCCCCCCCCCCAGCTCCAGAGCTGTCGGACTCTGGACCCCCCCATCTCCCCCCCTCGAGGCGCATCTGCTGGGGTTTTTCTTCTGACCGCCTTGCAGGTCAGCCCCGTTCCTTTGGGGGGGCTCTGGGATCTCACACGGGGCTCCCCCCATCTCTGCCCCCCCCCAGGAGGAGCGGGAAAAGCGCCGCCTGGAGCAGCTGGAGCGCAAGAAGGAGCTGCAGCGGATGCTGGAGGAGGAGGATGCCCAGCTGAAGGGCAAGGCCCCCAAGCCGCCCGGCCCCGCCAGGGTCACCCGGGCCCAGATCGAGGAGGCCCTCCAGAAGGAGCTGAAGGAGGGCGGGGACGCGGCCGGCGGCGGTGAGTGCGGCTGCCCCCTCGGCTGCGGCAGGGGGTGGCTGGGCCCCGGTGGGGAGGGGGGCGGCAGGACAAGGGCGGGAGACCACCAGGAGATCCCGAAGCCTGCTCAGATGCAGAGGC